TTGACAATTGGGATATATCCCAAATCAAAATCTAAACCAAATATAGCTTATCCTTCAGCACTAACCCTAACCCTTACTCTAACTCTAGTCATATTCCTATTCTAATTTGGGCCGATTGTGATTTGGAACAATTGCGATTTTGGGCACAACATATATATTACTTTTTATAAATGCACACTCTTTAAGTGCACACTCTGCCTGTTTTTACCATGGTTCCAAAAAGAATGCACTTAGAAAGATTTTACTATATTTGGTAAATTATCTGACTTATTTTCCAATGTTTCTAGAGAAATATCATCCATATCTAAATTAAAATTATTAAAATTCTGCTCAAAGTTCTCTTCCAGTTGTTGATATTGCTTCGAATCCAGAGGAATATCATTCATATCTAAAGATCTCTAATCATATACTCTCTAAATGCACACCCTCTCTAAATGCATACTGTTTTTTAATATGGCACTTAGGTTTATTTGTACGTACTACATGAACTAAAGTAAAATTCTGTATTTTGCAATTTCAATTTTTGTAACTAATCGCGCAAAATTTAATTATTTTGAAAAATAACTTCAAATTCATAATATTTTATTTATTATATGTGTAAATTAATCCTTATATGCAAAATTAAATTCATATTTTCTTCTTAAATATCAATAACGATAATCTTAAAAATGCATTATGCATTCCATATACAAAAAATCGTAAAATTATTGGCGAGAAAGAGTAACGCGCGGGAGTTTATGTTTAATTTTCGACCACATTTTCGTGATACTGCGTTTATATGAGGCTGGTTTATTACAACATGGATACAAATAGACAAAATCGAGTTTCTACAAGTAAAAAGAATATTGTGAACTTTAAACTTTCATTTTTTTCATATGGAAACTTATGCATATATATGCATGCGTACCAGTTTGTGCGCAAACCACGGTATACCAGCTGCACATTCAAACGATAGGTAGACATTACAATTTTGATTATTGTTGCTGAATGATGGTATTTCGAGTTTAAATGGTAATTGATAATCGACAAATCCTTTTTCGAATGTGGTTTGCGAATAATCGTAGTGTCTTGGATGGTAAATGTATTGCTTGGGTTCAAAATTAGGGTTCTATATATATTAATAAATACAAATGTAATTTAAATCAGCATGCAATTCAACACGTTAATTCGATTCGATTCAATGACAGTCTATTACATTGATGTTCTCGTCAACGACTTTTGTTATGAATTTAGTTCCTTTTAGTACTGATAAATGATGTATGCGCATTCTCCAAATAACGTGATACGTCCCAGCAAGAACATTTTTGAGAACTGCTGATAACTACACGATAATATTTTAATTTTAGTTTTGGTGTAAACAATACATTAAATAAAAATAAATTGCGTACACTTAAAAAATAAAGTCGCTCATCTTGTGAAGGTAATTGAATGATTTTCCCGCATTTACTGCGTTTATAATTTATTAGTTTAATGAATATTGCCAGAATCAATGCGACTGGGTTTTTCTATTTACCTTTTTTCATAATCCACAATGTATGCGTCTCGTGTATTGATTTCAGCAATTCCGAATTCATGAAGCCAAAAGGAAGTGATTTCACATTTTTCAGCAAGAAAAGTGGTTTTTCGATCTTTTTATTTAAATCGCAGTGAAAAGAAACATTAATACCAAAGAAATCAAAAAAAAAAAGGCTAGGTAAAAATTAGTCTACCTACATTGCTCAATACAAATTTGCTTCCAATTACATTGAATTTGTTTAGAATTTTCTTTCAGGTTTGTAATAATTTTCTTGGCAAACATTTTCCCAAATTGATTCACACACACTACGTGCCATAGATAATCGTCTCGCGTATAACCATATAAATGCTTGTTCACCTAATAAAGGGAACGAATATTATATATTGAGCGCACATATCAATTGAATACTCGATTCATTTCTGAATTCTTACTAATGCGACAGTAAAAATATCACTGGGTGTTAATTGACCAAGGATCTGAAAAATGATTTCGGGTGAGAACTGAATAAATACATCAAGAGATGAGTAGACTCCTTTCGTGTAGTTTTTACGAAATTTCATGACTTTGTTGAAGAAATTGAGCAATTGAATTATTGGAATGTATTCCCTCTTTATAAGAAAATGGTCGGGCCATAAGAATTTGCAAAAAAATGTTCTTATATAAAGGGTATTTAATAATAACTGGTTCCAAATATTGATGTTACTATAAAGGGTTTGTAAAACGTTCTTATCAATATTGATCACTTTACACCACACGACCTCAGACGACATAAATATTCGAAGATGATTGGACAAAGTTTATTTGTTAGTTTACATCATTGTTGACATCATTTGATACATCCCATTTACATCAAAGAAAAAGAATGGCTCTTGATACACGATACCTATATATGATTACGCATATGCATATGCAGCCACATTCGTTTCATTGTCATCATTTGACTCATTAACGTTAGAAAAAACATTGTTCTCGTTCAATACTGATACGTGATTATCCATATACAGCCACATCCGCTAGTAAAAAAATTATGTGGTGCAGATAGGGGCGTTTGATTTATTCATAAAATTGACCAATCAGAAAATAGCCACTTTTTGTATTGTCTGAATAATTTTGCCACGCTAATTAAAAAATCTAATAATAAATTTACTATCTTTGTTTTCATTGGCTAAAATTAATGATCAATTATATAATCGATGTTGTCTATACTTGGAAGTTGATATATATTATTAACCAATAAAAACAAGTATTGGGTTTCATTAGTGAGTTGGCATTTTTTGTTTCGCTCAAGTGATAATTATATGAATTTATTTAGAATATATTTATTATTATGTATTTGCATTATAATATATTATTATTATTTTTATTATTTTGTGAATTTTTAATAGTTAGTTAACAAATAACTTTTTTGTAATTTAGTTTTCTTTAAAATATAATCATATTCATTTCTCTTTATTTTTTTTATAGAAATACTTAATGAATTTGATGTTTGATTACTATTTTTATAAATTAATATTTTTTTCTATATTATTTTATTAAACAATTATATTTTTAATTAATTTTAGAAATTCAAATTTCAATTCAAAATTCTATTCAATATTCTATTCAAAATTCTATTCAAATTTCAGTTCAAAATCTTATTATCATCGATTTAATATATAAATATGTGAATGGAAGATGCAGTCACAATAAAAATTAATTATGATGATATTTAAATTACGTGTTTAATAAATTTCTACTTTTTTCTATTTTTTTTTATTTTCTTCTTTTTCTTTCTCATATTACTTATTTTTCTATATTTATTCCATTGTTATCTTAATTTGGATATATTAATTATGCAATTTTCTTGGCAAATTTATTAGTTTTTATATTAGTTTAATTTCTATTTTCTATTTTTGTTATTAATACTTTAGTGTAAAACAAGATTATTAATTATAATGTAGTTAAATTTCATGTAATTTAGAGAAAAACTAATAATTTTATAATATTAATATAGATCTATTATGCTTTTTGTAATTATAATATCAATCAAAAATAGCTTTAATATTTAAAGGTTGAGTAACAATAACTTGTATAAATATAATATGTATCTTAGCTTAGAAAAATAATCTTTTTAGATTTAATTTTCTTACACTTTTATAATTATCCACTTTAATTTTCTTTGACAAAATCTTTTTAGAAATGAGTCATATTATAAGTCTTGAATTGAAGATTTTCAATCAAGCATTAATTATCCTTTTCTTTCTTATTTGTATTTTTTATTATTTAAAAGCCCTCTCATCTGTAACAAGTGAAGTTATTTATAATAACATAATTAATCTCTCATCACTATCTTGCAAAGTTAATTAATATTATTTAGATTTAATAAAAAAGAAGATAATTTTATTAAAAAATTAATCAATAAAAGAAGATTACTTAACAATTAAATCATTTGAATTAAAAAAAGATTTCTGAACTCATTTTAGTAGTTCAACAAAATGAACACATCATTACCTATCTTTATTAAATTAGTTTCTTTCAACTTTAATTCCTTTAATTACTTTAAATATATAAAAATCTTTAATAATTCTTCCATTTAATTGAAACATATAAAGAATACATGATCTATATTTAAAAGATAATAAATCAACAGAAATGATAATAATATTAGATTAATTTAATTTTGAAGATAAAAATAGTTTTTAGTTAAATTTTTTTAGTTTAGTTTTGTTTTTAGATTAATCTTATTATTATCATTTTGTCTTGTTAAAAAATATTATTATAAATCTTATTTAGTTATCTCTTAAATCATTAAGCAAACAAATTTGCTTGCTTAAATTATTTTTGATGTATTTTTATATAACTATAAAAGATTTTTATATGTATATCTCTCATTTCTTATGTAAATCTGAAAGTGTGATATATTACTGATTATTTATAATTCTTTTTTCATAATTTTATTAACAAAAATCTAAAATTTTATTCTCCAAAAATAACTTCTGGAATTATTAATTTATATCTTCTTTAACTAAATTGAATGCACTATCTTCAAGTTCAACCTTAAGTTCATCTCCTTTTAAAAATATGAAAGTTCATATCAATAATAATAAAAAGTATATTTCACTTTTGACATTCTACCAATATTCTTTGAAAAATTCTAAATCAGATCTTGAGAATAAGGAAGAGAACACCATGAGTATTCATAGAGATAGATGCAAACTAGCAGTATAATTGTCATTATCATTTAATTTTGATTATTTTATTTATCTGAAACTATTATATTGTATATTTATTAATTTACCATCATAATATAATATCAATTTTTCAAAACCAATCAACTTTTTTCTTCTTTTTTTATAAACAATATTTTAAATATGATAATTGCAAATACAAATTTGTATTCATTATCAAAAAATATTAATAGAAGCAGATAATGACAAGATATAAATTGTAGAGAACTTATTACTTGAATCACTTTGATTATTTATTAAGAACTTTCAAATTATCTTCTCTCAATCAATACTGAAATGAAAATATGAAACTTTCAATCCATAATATTTCAAAGTAAATATCATTAAATTATTTTGAACAAATCAAAAAATATTTGCATGTTTCTTCTTCTACAGTTACAATTAATAATTACTTTAAAAAATTGGAATCATTACTCTCAAAAATATGGAATGTTTCAAAATAACTTTACACTTCTAAGAATTTTAAGATCTTGTTTCTTTGTGAATCTGAATATATATACACTTTCTTATTAACATTATATATTTTTCTAAGTGATATGCCAAAAGTGAACAGTCTTAATTAAATTGGATATTTAGTTTATTATCTCATTATGCAACTTTTATATCACTGATTTTCATTTAATATTTATATGGATAATTATTTTTCTAATATCTCTCTATTTCAAAATCTTTAACAAATAGATATTGATACTTACAGAACTATCTGTAAAACAGCTTCAAAATTTCTAAAAGAACTGAAAATAAATAAAAAAGTCAAATTTAATTAAAATATTCATTCTGATATTGTAGTAAATAGGATATTAATCATTTTTTAATAAGATAATGAACTGATCATAATATTATCAATGATTCATTATCTTGTCAGTAAGAATTGGAAAGTAGAATATGAAAAATGATGACTAAGATAAATAAGTACAAATGCAATAAGAGTGTATATTTTTTAAAGTTTAATTAAAATTTTTTTATTATTTTTTTATTTTTTTTAATTAACAAAGATATGTTCAGTATTCAGTTTTGAATCAAAAAAACTTTTAAAAATTTCTAAGATAATTAATAATTACAATTATAATATTGTTATTCCAGTTCTTTTAACAGTATTTATATAATAGAAGGTCTTTAACAGGTCTCTTCTTACAGTTATAAGAGGAGATAGTGGATCAAGTTAAGTTTATTATTAAGAAAGTTATATATTATAATTATGATAGATTCAAGATAGTTTTATTAACAAAGCTTCTTTATTACTATACTTTTCACTATTGCTGCCTCTGTTGGCACTCTGCACATAGACTATACAAGTATATAATACAAGAATAACAATATTATATAGACTATTCCAAGTCTATAATCAAAAATCAAAGAGTAATTATAAGGTATATGATAAGTGGATTCGTTATTAAGAACTTGTTAACTAATATTCTAATTAAAACTTATTCTCAAACTTATGATATTATTTTGCTATCAAGTAAAGTGCTACTATATATAAAATTGATTGTTACAAAGATCTCTAAATATTTGTAACACTAAACAAGCAAAATCTCTATAGTTTTAAAGATCAATGTTTCAAAATATTAATAATTTGATATCTCTAATGATCAACAGTTCAAAATATTGAAGGTTCAATATATCTGTCATATTGATACACAGCACATGTAAACAATAAGCCCAAAAAATAACTAATCAATAAAAATAAATATTATTCAATAATAACATAGATAAATTATAATCAATAAAAATAAACTAATTACTTATCCTAATATAACAAATAAAATATACTATAACATATTTCTTCACATAATTCCTGAGCTCTGTCGAAGGAATACAAAATAAAAATAAAAAAAAATAAAAGAGGAATAAAAATTATTAACTCTCTCAGTTCTTTATGCTTATCATAAGATACTGGAAGATTTTGCTACTCAGCTATATAGTCTTAATCAGTCATGACAATCATTATTGAGTTAAGGAATGATAATTTAAAAAGTGAATAATTATAATAGAGTCTCATCTTACGTATAGGCATTATAGTAAAGATTCTCTGATAGGGCTGTAACAACATGTGAATTATTTCACAAGTCACCAATACACATAGCATTCCGATCTTTTCCATTAAGATGAAATTAAGAATAAGAAAGTTTAAACTGTATATATGATGAAGAACATCCATTACAAAATTCAAGTAATATTGAACCAACACCTTAATGGATTAAGTTGAAGAATCAGTCATAACAACAGTTTCTATATACAAAAAATTCATGTATTCAAGAAGGATAGTAATAAAAGAAGGGTAGTTGTTCAAAGTTTAATAAAAATAAAATAAATTAAAGAAAATAAAAGAT